ATGGTCTAGCCTACATAGGCTGGCTGTCAGCAAATGAAGCCTGGTTCAGCCTGGTTGCATGCGTACCACTCGCTACCCTCTATTCTTCCTGCGTTTCCTTTGCACACCGCCGCAATGCATTGCCCTATTGCCGCCGAAAATTGCTCCGGATCTTGTGCATAAGACTGCCCCTCTCCCACTGTTTGATGTGGCCATCCCGCGGATCCCACTTTTGCAGAGCAGAGCATGCATCATACATGAAGAATGTATGCAAGCACATGAGCAACATGTAGAGTTTGAACTTTCGGTAATCCCACGGACGGAATCTTCTTTTCCCCTCTTGCTGTCGCTGCCTCATTGAGCTGAGCATCCGTCATCTTGTTCTGCCTGCCCTTTTTGGTATCTGATGCTTGATGCCTTTCCCAGTGAACAAGGGAACCGTAAGCACCCTATGTTTTAGGTACCGTAGACCTTTCTTGCACAGAGCCAGGGTTAGAGTTCCCCTAGATTCTCCCTAGAGTTCCCCTGCCACCGCCTAGCCCACAAGTTCCCTCTAGGTCGGTCTTCCTGCAGCCTCGATGGCGACTAGGACCCCGCGACGAACCTCTCCTGACCCTTCTTACAAGTTACCACTTCACTTCACCAATAAAACCATCTGGCCAATCTGAATCTTCATCTCTGTCATTCTTGGAAGTAGGCCTTGATGCCCGTACAGTCTGCATGTTTTAGCGTTCGATCCCACACTCCGTTCTGAAACAGCCTCTCCGCTCCTCTCCTGCTACTCTTATCGCTGCGTACCACTGCATCCTCCCCGCCACAATCTCAATGTACGAGGCAAAGAAGGCGATCTTTATACTGCAATAATACATATCGAATTCGGGGTGTTTGCTACACAACTGCGACAGGTACTGCAGCGTCAGCGTGCGCAGGTCGGCAGCATACCAACCTCGAGGCTGCGCTTGAGTTTCCGTCTCTTTTCCGTATTTCCAACCCTGTCAGGCCGGCGTCTCCATGAAATGACGCAAGCGCTCATCGACTTCTAGTCGCCTTCTACCAAACACACAGCACCTCTCTTTAGACTCAGAAAGGCCTTTTTCGTTCTACGCTCAGGCGAAGTCGGAGTGTTACCACAATGACCACCTTTGAGCCGGTCAACGTTGGCCTCGGCCTTTCGGACTACTCCACCGAAGCGACTACACCGACGACTCCTCGAGCCCCTATACCAAACCCTACTCGACCCACACCTCTCCCATCTTCCGAGGACTCGACGCGGTCCGCGCCAAATACGCCTACAACACTGAACTTTGGTGGAGTAAACGGGCAACGGCCATTACCCAGTTCGCCCTTTAGCAATTCTTTTCCAGTACAACATCAGCCTCTAGGCACGACAAGACCTGGGATTGCCAGTCGCGGCGATTCGAGTCGCTCGATTCAATCAACGGAATCCCAGGACATAGACATGGATGAATCAGACGAGGGCGATGGAGGGTCGGACGCCGACAGTATAGACTTGGAGACGGGCAGGCCATCCAAAAAGAAGAAGGGTCAGAGGTTTTTCTGCACCGAGTTTCCACCTTGCAAGTTGAGTTTCACACGGAGTGAACATCTCGCACGGCACATCAGGTATGTGTTCGTTCGATCAGGTACCTTAAGTTTGACTGAAAGTGGCAGGAAACATACCGGGGAACGACCTTTCCAATGTCACTGTTCGCGCAGATTCTCTCGTCTTGACAACCTGCGGCAGCATGCCCAAACGGTACATGTCAACGAAGAGATACCTGGCGACTCTCTGGCTGCTACTGGTACTCGCTTTCAACGCCAGATTCGAACTGATCGTGTGCGACCGCCGAGTGGGCGACCTCGCGCTGGCACTGCGAGTAGCCAAGGAAGCCACGGTCGAGGTCACGGCCGGAATCTGTCAACCTCTAGTATTGGATCCAATGCATCTACGATGGTCAGAGAGGACAGTCGACGAAGGCCACCTCCTTTGATGATGGCGAGTGATTCATCTGCGCGGAACAGGCTGAGCTTGGATACGCTACGAAGTCAAGCTTCAACGCCGCCTGGCCAGTATTCATTCTTAGTGGAACCATCTGAAGGTGCTAGCACCCCAACTTCGACCACTTATTCCAATGGACAGAATAGCCCGGGCTATGGCTCATCCTTGGGGTCACCCGTGTCCACTGTATCTCGAAGTGGTAATTTTTGGGACGGCAGGTCTCACACTCGAAGACTATCCGTACCATCTGGACCGGTCCAATTCCAGTCTCCTCAGAGTAATGCCTATTCTTCGCCTTTCCTCAGTCCTCTGGTTTCCTCCAGTGCTTCTACCTTTCCAAATGTTGGCAGTAGTTCGGGGAGTCCGACCAATGCGAATTACAACCCGTCACGCCGCGAAGCTGTATCAGCTGCCGAAGCCGAATGGAGAAGACGGACATGGCATCCTAGCACCTATACTTATACGAATTACTCTCGTCCAGCTACGAGTGGATTGAGCTACTACCAGACCCCGGATGCTCCTCGGCCTGCCTTTGCTCCACAAGCTGCTGCGGCTGCAAGTCAGCCACATCGACTACCCGGTATTGAAACGTTTGATCAGATGCCTCGTCGGCCTGCAACGCCCCATGCCAGCGCTTCAGGTCCTATGCAGATCGACCCTGCTATCAGACCGCCAATCTATCCAGGTCCATCAGTGCAGCCCAACTCTGGACCAAACGATAGGAGGGGCCACGCATCATGGGACATGTCTCTCCATCAGAATCTGACTAAACTTGACATAGCGAGTGGGACCCCACCTAACGATTCTGGTGCATGGTCCCAGCAGGCTGTTAATGAGCAAGTCTCAGTCGGCTCACAGACGGAACAGCACGCCCAGGCAGCCCCTGTTCTACATCAAGAATCGCAAAAGCGCGCTTCTGAGACTCCACACTACCCCAATCCTACCCCTGTTAGAGCGAAACGTCAAGGCTGGTATATCGGCCATGTAGGAGGAAGTCAGCAGCGAGCTTCACCTGGAGATTCCAGCAGTAGCGAAGGAGTCCCGACCACGCCCTCGTTCACAACTGCCGAACATCATCCTTCGATTGTCCACAGCAACGGTTACATTGAGTCTGCTCACCCTGGCGCTGCCATGCCAGCGCCTCACCACGTAAGTTCTGACGTTCAGTTGTCGTAAAGAAATTGCTTAACCATTTACGAAGGCTTATAATGCCGGAAACACACGACCTCCGACCTGGCCGCTACCGACCGGTGCGGACAGTTCTCACCACAACGGGCCAAAGGACACCCAGATGAGTGGGCTTGAAGTCCTTGTGGCTGTTGCCACCAGCGAGGAAAATGCTACTGCTACTCCTCGTTCCTGATCCTATCGCGAATTATGACTTCTCTTCGAAGGTCTGAATTATTATGTTCTTTCACCGATTCTGTCGGCTTTATGAAGTACACGACTTTGACGCTTTCTATGTTACAACGTTTCTGTCATGGAAGCATATGAGATACCCGTCAGAGAAGAGCGAATATGCATGGAGTTTATCGTCATTTGAGCGTCTGAGATTCTTTTTGAATACCATTTAGGAGGCATCAGCGGCGTGGATTTTTTTACCACTTACTGTCGTTTTCTGGCATTTCTGTCATAAATTTAGGCACGCGCTTCATTACTGCGGATACCAACGCTGGATCGCAGCGACATACGATTTTGGGCGCTTGATATTATGAATCGCTGAGCTCCCCCCCAGATAGCTACGTCCTCTACTCGCAATAATATCTTCTCCCCTTTACGAACCCAACTTGCAAGACCAGGAATATTCGGCACCGACTGTGGCCTGCCTATCATACATCTGTAACGTAGTAGTACTTGAGGATTTTCGCGACGCTATCGTAGAGAGTGACCCAGAATAACTCCGCTGCGATGCATTGACCGACCAAGCATGCCATGCTACCATAGCCATAGATTCGACTTCGCGATCGAGAACCCGTCCTGTAACAATGCGCTTCCGCCCTTCCTGTCAAGTGCCTCGTCATTCACGAAGTCGGTTTCCTCCGGTCTCCAGGCAGCGCCATCCCCTCGGGCATCGGTCTCGCCCCTTCCTTCGCCAGCTTTTCCAGCGTTTGCTTCTTATTGTGCTCCATCACTCGTCTCTGCTTGAAATACGTGACCTGTAAATCCCGACAACCGGTCAGCCACCCATCTCAACCCAAGACAGCTTAGCTCTTCCATGTCCATTTATTTCCCTTCCCCCCCCCATCCCTCCTCCTTTCCAGTCCCTTTTCCTCCCCCCTCCAAACCAGCATCACCAGTCAACATACCCAACTCGCGGCGCACTCCCTGTCCAACCCCTTCCCCTCACTCCCACACGCCCCCTCCGCCCGATCTTTCTCCCGTATGCCGTCGACGATGCCGTTGCGTTCCAGGCAGGCGAAGAAGTCGTCCCGGGCCCGCCAGCAGTGCGCGCGCGATTGCCGGTCCGGGGCTTCGAACGCGCCGTCCGGGGACGGGGTGGGGGAGGCGTGGGAGGGCGGGGGCGGGGTGGGGGTGGAGGAGGTGGTGAAGAGGCCCATTTGGTGGGTGGGTGGGAAGGGTGGTGCGGAGTGGGTGGTGGAGTGCGAGAGTGAAGGTGTTGGTGGTTGTTTTGAGTTGGGAAATTTAGGAGCTTTTGGAGGGCTGGCGCTAGCGTGCGGAATTTTTTGGGTTGTTTCTCCGCCGCCGCTAGGGGGGAGAGAGAGAGAGAGGGAGCTCAGGCTTCAATATTCATCCTCCTCATTCTGGAGACGAATCGTATTGCAAAGTTCTTTCGAGAACACAGCCTCACAAATTCTTCTCCTCCGCCCTTTTCCCCCATCCGAATCACCCTCTTCCAGTCAGTCCGAAAGCCCACACCACCACCACCACCGACGACGACGCCAACAACAACAACAACAACAAACAAACAATGCGACCACGATAACCAGCCACACCCACCTCTCCCACCCACCCATCCCATCCATCACCTCTCTCCCAACCAAACAACCCACACAACACAAAAATGCCGCGCCGGCCCCGGCACGCCCACTCGCCGCTGCGCATCCTCACGCAGATCGTGACGCTGCAGCTGCTCTACTACCTCTGCGTGACGGGCCTGCTGCTCTTCGCGGCGCTGACGGCCGGGCGGCCCTTCTCGCCGGACCTGGTGCTCGGCTGGCGCGGCCTGCGGGGGGACACGGCGGGCGGGTGGACGCTGGGCGTGTGTTGGCTCGGGGGCAGTCTGTGCGGGTGAGTCGGAGTTGGGGGGGTGCGATGTTTTGTGCTGTTCTGTTTTCCGTTTTTCTTTCTTTCACATGAAGAGATACACCCAACCTTTTTTCCACGGAGAAATCCTGGGGAGGGTTCGTCCCGTCCGAGCGTCGAGAGCGTTGTTCCCCGAACAGAATCATCTTCCCTCATCCCCCTCCCTCCCCCCCCCCCCCCCCCCTCCCTCACATACATACCTACATACCTCCCCCGCCAACCCATACCTCCCCCGCTAACCCATCCCCCCCCCCTCCAGCGTCATCCTCCTCGCCCTCGTCGTCGCGCGCTCCAAGCTCGTCCCCGACTTCGCCCTCACGCTGCACGCGGTCCACCTGCTCGCCACGTCGCTCTACTCGCGGTCCGTGCCGGCCAACGGGCTCTGGTGGGCCCTGCAGGCCGCGAGCGCCGGCCTCATGGTCGCGGGCGGGGTCTGGGGCTGTCGGTGGCGGGAGCTGCGGCCGATTTCGTTCGGTGGTGGTGGTGGTGGTGCTGGTGCTGGTGCTGGAGGGAAGGTGGGGGGGGACCCGGGGGGGGGAGGGGAGTATGAGATGCTTGCTACGGTGGAGGAGGGGGGTGGGGGGGAGGGAGAGGGGAGGGCGTGAGGAAGAGGAAAGGGTATCGGGCTTGGGGAAAAAAAGAGGATTCGTGTTGAGATACCCATCCCTTGAGTTGATTTTGGGCAAAACGTATAGAGTATACATGTTTGACTATCCAGACGCGGATGAATCAGATCAACGTCGAGAGGTATCATAGGTATGAAAATTACATTCTTGATGCATGCGTGAGCAGGAGCCGAACGTTCTATCGTAGGAGCCCGTCTCATCATGTTGTTGTTGAAAAAGGAGCAAATAGCATGGTAGCAGAGGTAATGCATCCCCGCAAACCCTTCGTAGGATACTTTCTCCCGTTCCCTTTTCCCTTTTTCCGTTGTCCATCCTCAAACCGTGATATCTTCTGCAATGCATGCAAGCCCCATTTCAAATAACACCCCCTCTTGAATAATACAGATTGTAACATTTCGATAGTGCGCTTCGATAGAATCGGCTGGCACGTGCCTCATGAATTCAAACTTCTCAATGCAATCCCGTTGACCATCACAATGTATCTGCCTCCTTTGTGATGATCTGCGATGCCTCATTATGTCTTGAATGCCCGATCCAGAACCTTCAACGCCCTCATATCTTCACCAAAACCCAGTTTGTCACTGGGAATGTCCTGCGGTCCACCTTCCTTCTTCACGGAACCACCGGGAGTTTTATCACCGGATCTGTCGCTCTTCGCATCTGCGTTTGGGCTGTTGTGGCTCTCGGTAGAAGTGCCGTTCATGATGGCGCCAATACTTGGGATCGTGCTTGCGCCATTTGTGCCGTTGGCGTGGGTTTGGACGGTCTCGGCAGCTTCCTGGAGCTGTGCATGAGCTCCAGGAGTTGACGTCCGGGAATGAAGGTTTGGTTGTGACTGTTGCTGTATCATCGGCGAAGAACCCATCAACCGCGGGTCGATAGGAGTGGACGACGAGGTAAGCTGCTGAGCCTGCTGCTGTTGACCGTTTGGCGGAGGTTGCGACATGTGTGGGGAAGGATGACGATATTGTGACTGTGACTGCTGCATACCATTCGCGGAGGTCCCATTGCGGCTGTGAATCTGTTGCGGAGGCGCAAGATTGCTGTCTGAGGGCGTGGGAGGATTGCGATTTTGATTTGGAGGGTACCTTGGATCATAGCCGTTGTAGATATCTTGAGGCGGCGCATACTTGTCCATGGGTCGCTGTTGTGGTGTTGTAGGAGGGCCTTGCCGTTGGTCGTAGCCAGACATATCAGGGTGCACAGAAGATGGCATCGAAGGGTATCTTCTTTGGTCGTACGCTTGGTAATGAGGGTCGTATGACTGCGTTGTGGGTGGAGGTTGTTGAGCTGATTGAGAGTTCTGAAGAGGTGAATGACCGTTGATCGGCGGTGGGGGTGCGTATACGGCACCACCTCCATTATACTGCTGGTAGCCATAATGTGGGCCCGCCTGTTGCACCGGAGGCGGAGGCGTCCAATTGTAACCATTGTAGTGTGGGGGCCATTGAGGAGGTCCTTGTCGAGCATATCCTGCCATCTGAGGGACAGTTGAGTATGGTGCGCTGACCATCGGCGATCGAGTCACGGCGGGGATATTTTGATGCTCATGAACGGTCGATTCGGGGTACATTCCCTTTTGTGGACGAATATGCCGCAATGCCGGATCGCTTGTAGGACTTGTGAGGCCTGAAGCAGATGGATGGGAGCGCGAGTAGTAGCTGATGAGATGGAGGTGATTGCCCGAGGAAGTCGTTATGCTGAAGGACTGCTTCATCAAGCCGTCTGGCTTGTATCGATACCCATCCGGTCCATCTTCTCCACCAATATCCAGATCGGAGTCACTACCGCGAGTGCTATCAGGAGTCTTTCCAGCTCTTGAGACGGCAGCCAAAGGCGGCCCAAAGCTGTTGCCACCACGTTTGCCCTCCATTTCCCGGTATGTAAGAAAGCTTCCAGACACCCTACTGGCACTCCAAGATTTCCCGTCGGTCCATCTTCGCATACCGGCTTCACGTTCATCCCAGACGAAGACAGAGCCAGACTTGATGGATTGGCGCTCTTTTTCAGACAATCTTCGCTGGACTCTAGGTAAAAGGCCCAGGCGACAGGCCTCGAATAGTATTATCGCATCTGCGGGGGTCCGCACGTGCCCGTTGTATGTTTCCATATCTAAGAAAGTAGAAATGGTGGGTATCGATGGGGCTGCCAGCCTTGGATTGGGTGGGTCCTCACAGGAGCGCCTTCGCTTTAGGGGTATCCCCCCTAGATTGGGACTTGTTCGCGAGGCTGCGAGGTGCGGTTTTGCATCGAGGTAAGCAAGCGGCCGGTGAAAACTGGCGGGGTCCATCAGTAGAGATTCTCTGTTGACTTTGTTGTGTATACAGCGGACATGAGGGTAGTAGAAGGTTGCGTCGCATGAGAAAAAGCAATGTGTAGGAAGAGAATATGGTTGCGCAGCGTCCAGTTGGGTAAGATATGTGGAAAGGGGGCATCCGGTGCATGAGATGTAACACAGGGCGGAAGATTTGGAAGTGGGCGAGGGTGTAGGATGTAGGATGTAAGGCGCAGGGAGGCAGTCGCAAAGCTTACCTTCAACGGACGGAGGTCAGATTAATCTTAAAGATTATTCGGCATAACAGTAATATATCTCGGACAGACCGTTGAATTATGATTAAGAAGAAGGGAGCCTTGGGTGAATAAGCTTCGACGAAACTCCACTTTGCGATACGGGCTTGAGGAAGAAATTTGTGTTCAGGTCGGTGTGGATGGTATGAGTGATGTTCCGGAGGGGCGTGGAGGAGGTGTGCAGAGCAAGAAGGAAGCCTGAGCGGCGCGGAGAGCCGTGGAAAAGGATCGGAGCTGAGAAGCTGATGAATGATGTGTGAGTGTGGTGTAGATGTTGTTGTTGGTGCAACTGGCACTGGTACTGGTACTGGTACCTTTACTGGTGTTGATGATGATGGTGATGATGATGATTCAGTTTGCATGGGTTGATAGCATGATGGAAGCTTTTTTTTTGAGTACCGCGCGTAAGTTTTTGGTTAGTAAGTTAGGTCAGTAGTTAGTAGTAGTGGTAAGGTAAGTTAGTGACGAAGGTTAGGATTTAGCATTTCCGAGCATGCCGCTTAAAAACTCTACCCAGCTGCTACCAGGTCTACCGAGTCCAATCAGAGACTACCCGTTTCTGCGTACGTTGGAGATATAATGAAGGAGGATGGTGAAACAGTCTTAAAGTATTGTGATTTAAAGTCGTCGGTAGGCTTTGCAACATGTAGAGTAATGATTATTGAATAATGTACTTATTATTAAAGGAAAAGCATCTCGCAACACTTTCCCTCATTCGTGAGAAGGTATGAGTGCAGTGCAGTGCAGGATCGAGATGCGAGAAGCGAGGGTGTTATTAAAACAGAAAGCCAAGGATTAAGTGAGATCCTTTACTGGAATGACACTCACCAAACCCCTTTTCAACCTTGATCAAACACCTATCAACTCCGAGCATCCAGCTGCCCATTTCGATTCTACACATCTGGCCCCTTTGTCACACACTCACTAACTCACACCCTCCACACTCTCTCCACACACCTCGCACCGACACACCGACACACCGACACACCCACCCCATATCACCCACACACATCCATCATATATGACGTCTCATTCCCCTTTTAATTGTGGTGCACGCCTTTACAATTCCATTTCTCTCTCTCAATCTCCCCGCCTCGCTTATGACTACTCCTACGCTGTTCCTGATTCTGTTAAAGCCAATTGCCAAACAGCGGCAGCGACGAGATCCGAGACATAGGATATGTATACGGTACTTAGTCGCTGATAGTACATGTTGATTAATGTATGACTGATAAGTATGGTCCGCCATGTGTGAGCCCTGCAAGTCTTTCTTTTTGCTTCGTTGGACCGCCTCGAGGCTCCGTGGCCTTTGGTCAACTTGTGGAGTAAGGTTAATCGACACGCCACGGAACCTTATATTTTACCGACGCTACCCCCCTGTCAAGAGCTGCTTTCTGCCGAGTGCATATCTTCTCCGCCAGTACTTTCTTTCTGCCAACTCCAAGGGTGCCATGCATGCATGCGGCCGACTTGGGAAGCAAGATCTTGGCCAACAACCCCTTGGCTTTTTGCTTCTCAAATGTTCATGGACCGAGCGGTTTAAGGTTTCAAAGTCCATCAATCAGATACGAGAAGAATGCAGGAAAAAGCAAAGTATATTAATATGCATGTTTCAACGGCGACGGACAGCGTGACAGCTGGGTTTCACACAATCCTCGTACTAGCCATACGGGAATCATGCTCCGTCTGACATTTGGCTTTTCTCTTCAAGCCACCTAAGCTTCATTCGCAACGCTGTAGCCGGCCTTACTTTCACTACCAATAATGATTACATGACCCCCCCCCCCAGAGAATACGACATCACCATAATCCCGTATGTAAAGTAATGAACCCACGAATCGGGCCAAACCCATCACGGACACCAAGTCTTGCGCGGTCTCGCAATTGGCAATCGCAAGGGCAAGGGCGATGGTGCAAATGCAGCAATTCAATAATAAGAATAATCATATTATATGCCGCCCGGGAATATGGAAGGTAACTTTTAGAGTACCGCCAAGCTTTTCTGCCGCTCAACCACACGATATGCATATCTTCCGTACCGTTATTTCTTGTCACTCCTTCTCACACTCCATGCAAAGCCGCGGCACGGTCTGCACCCACACCTTTTCCATCAACTTTGCCATCTGCGAGACAAGAAGAGTAACACTTGCGCGATGACTGCCAAGCTTCCAGTTCTGCAACACGAACTGCCGCAACGTTACCACTTTCCCCCTTAGTGGTGGCTTGCATGAGTCTCCGGTACCTAATACTCTAGTGGGCCACCCCTCGTGTTGGTCAGAAATGCCGAGGAGCAGGAGGCGCTTCTCCTCCGTAGGCGGATTTGTCGCCAACATTGTGCCCATTCCGCCTTGACATTTGGCGCCTTGGAGGCTCTACGAAGATCGAGATCTCAGCGCTGCGAGAGTCTAGACATGCATCCCGAGCGAAGCCGTCGTGACTCGTCTATGCGGAGAAGGTTCCGCAACCAAGCTCCTTCCCCTTTCCTGAGCAGTAGCACAGCGCCGGTGAAGTTTGAGACAATGGCAATATTATTGATCCATTGGGGAATGATGGAATGGAGACTGGAACTTTCAGACTGCGGTATTGGGTAAGGAGGTGGAGTTGTCGAAAGGCTAGATAGTAGACAGCTACCCATGTGCAAAAGATCAGCAATCACAACGACCATGGTAGCGGGGCCAGGGGACGACATCTTTGATGTTGCTGATTCCAGAAAGATAAGCCAATAGCCTATCGAAACCGAGTCCAAATCCGCCATGAGGAACGCTACCGTATCGACGGAGATCGGCATACCAGTCGAGATTGCCCTTCTCACTGGAAGGCGACACATCAGAATTCATTATGGTTTGACCAACCCCGCTTGCCGCTGAAAAGTTCAGACCATGGCTATGCATTGACTTCAAGAGTTGTTGTAGACGATGTTCACGCATTGACCCTCCAACTACTTCACATAGCTCAGGCAGTAAGAGGTCAAAACAGGCGACGGTTTTGTTTTGCGTTGGTTCAACACCATCCTCCGGTGATGACGGGAGCATGTAGAAAGGCTTGGTCTCCCGAGGATAGTCAGTCACAAACACCGGGCTGCCTTGGCCGAAGGTTGTAGAAATGAACTTCTCATGCTCCAGCTGTAAGCCAGTGATCCAGGATGGCTCGTACACAAACGTTGCTTTCCCTGACTCGACCGCATCCTCAAGGCGCTTGATTGCGTCTTCATAGGTAATTCGAGGCCAGGGTGATTGCATAAGCCCTTGCCAGCGTTTGCGAAGTAATTGTGAGAATTGCGTGCCTTCAGCGTCAGCAGACTTCGCTCCTCGATTGGCATGTAAGATCTCTTCCATGAAGCCCGCTTCCTGTAATTTGCCCACTAGATCTCGGATCATGTCTTCAACCAGATTCATGACATCTCTCAGGCTTTCGGTCCGTATTTCCGCTTCCAGCATCCAAAACTCAGCCACATGTCGCGGAGTGTCGCTTTTTTCTGCCCGAAATGTTGGAGACAATGTCCAGACTTTCTGATGCTCGTGTATGAAAGCTTCCAAGTGTAGCTGAGAAGAAACGGTCAGGAACTTTGGATCCCTGAACATTTCATCCTTCTCCCTCGCTGCAGCCTCAATCTCATCTTCCCCTCGGCTACTAGATGGCTTTGCAGATACCGTGAAGATCTCGCCGGCCCCCTCACAGTCGGACGAAGTTATGATGGGTGGCTGCACACGAACGAAATGCCGATCTCTAAAATAGCTAGCTAGGTGGTAGTCACACTCAGACCTCAACCGTGCGAGCAGTGCATTCACCGGAGTCCGCAGCCTAAGATGTGGAATCGTTCGGAGGTATTCGGCGCTATGGTATTTCTTTTGGATGGGATACTTCTGCGTGATTGAATTTGTCAGCGCCTCTACCCTGACACGAACGCAAAAGCCACAACGCAGGTACCGCAGATCAATTCAGGGTGGGTCGACTACCTCTGCATCCGTCGCACCGATGATGTTCACCGCCTTCGCCTTCAATTCATACGGTTGTTCCTTGTGCGGTGGAGCAGCCTGCCATGTACCCGTGATGGCCACTGAAGTCCCCGTGCCTAAGCTGTACAGTCCGAGCACCGTTAGTTTTGTGCTGCAGGGAGGGGAACAGAGTCACTGGACGTGCCCTTCAGCCAGTTGAGGATCTAGCACAGCTTGTAAGGAATATGCCGTAGACCCATCGCCGAGTTCAACGAATGAGCGTTGCTTCTGGTTTCGAATAGTTCTGATTGAGCCTTCCACTGTGATTACATGGCCGCCATGTCGTGGTGGAGTTGCCAGGATGGTGGCTACGTTGGGACTGGCCGTGGGAAAAGCAGACAGAGGCCGCATGCGCACATGAGTGGGAGGAAGTGTAATTGCCGGTCTTGAAAACAGAGGTGATAGGCGAACGCAACGCCATATCGTGAGCATCAGCCAGATTGAGATGTTCGCGTTGTTGGTGGATGCTGCAGGATGTCGTAGGAGTTCAGCGGTTGACAAATCTTGGTAGACCAGGGGGTGGAAGAGATTGGAGATTGGAGAATCGAGAACGAGTCGGAATGGAGGGCGAGGGAGCTAGTAAAAATCTCATGCAATATTTCATGCAGCCTTACGCGCATATGGATGAAGGAAGGTGAGGCGGCTGACGAACCTCGCTCGAACTGTCACACGTCAAGCTCAAAAGAGTGAAATATGCAAACTCCAACATATTGGAGGCATTGTTCTCATAATCTTGGAAGTGAACAAGAAGCATTTCATCATATGCCTGCTTGATATCCTACAGCTGACAAGCATCCGTTGGCAGCTATTGTTTCGTCAACTGCCGAAGGCTTTTCCATACAGTTTTCGGTACCAAGTCCGTTCCATTTTTTAATTTTAAGACGGCACATGTATATTCACCGCAGGAACTTTTGATTCATCTAATTACTTGCTGACCTTGCCCTAAAGTATTCAGATCTACCGACGTGAGTGGTAGATCATTAGACAGGAGCAGACGAGTAAAGTAGTTGGGACTTCATCTCATCGCCTGTGGGGAGAGATGACACAAAAGTCTATTTAGCGGCTGTCGGTACCCCCAACGCTGGAAGGGCCCAGGCCTTGTAGCCTTGAAAGCTTTGAACCCCTTTTCCATCCAACCTCGGAACTTGGACGAATAGAGGCAGCGTGAAGGAAACTGTGGCACCTGTAGGAATGATAGCGCCCATGCCCCCCCCCCCGAGAGCTCCAAAGAAAGCAAGTCGATCCCACCGATCTCGAGGGAAGCTGTTGGTCGGTTTCATCTGGCTAAATGACACACTGCAGGATCGTGGAACGGGGAAGACACCCTCCCGTGAATTTATCCAGATCCATCTTGCACTTAAGTCGCTCCATCCGCCATTCTCTCACCGCTATTGGGCAGCGGCAATGGAACGATCGCACTGCTATGATCTCATCACGACTGGGAAGAATCGAAATCGTCTGAGCTCTCGCGTATCGTGGCTTGAATTCATTTGGTCATGACAGATTCACATCTAATCCTAAGCATCCAGCCGTATCCTTGCGATTGGTCACATACCTCCCTTTCCATGGTAGTTCAGGCATTCCACGTCGGCCGAAACCATCCTCACACGGCACCCAGCCATAGAAGCAAATTAATGATCATGGCTACTTTTCCTTTTATCCGCTACAACTTCCACTTGTGCCATCTCATCTCATCTCATCTCTTCTTGTCTATACTGCGATCCTACATACACTCTTGGCCCTGACTCCAGTCCTGTTTGAATTCTATTGCTTGCACACCAGTTCCCCTCTTGCCGATTCCTTGCTCCCCCTACCCTTTTAGCGGATTGCCATCTCAATTTACACCCTCGATATCAGCTGTGTTTCTTCTCCCTGGAACATGCCTCAAGCAAAAGCAAAACCCTCAGAGATTGCTTCCGAGGCCAAGAAAACTTACACTCCTTACATTCAATCTCAGCTGCCGCAATTTCCTCCTGTATCCATTTCATATCCGGACTCATCCAAGTTTCATCTCAACCCACGAGCCGGCTATGGACACAAGCTTCGTGTAGCAGTCATTACTGGCGATCCGGTTGATGCAGCCTTGGACTGGGACGAATCAAACTTCAAAGCGAACGGATCTTCCAAGCAGCTGGGAGCAATACCCGTGGTCAGCATGGCCAACGAGAAACGGGCTGGAGGTGACTGGGAGTCTGGTCTCATAGCTCCAGAGGAATGCCTCTGCCGACGTTCGAACCTCGCCAAGGTTCTAACAACGCCTAGCCATACATCTGCCCAGGTCCCTCACTACCCAATTCGAACAACTGGTGGGATTTATTCTCCTCATGTCGGTACGCTGCTCTCCCGTACATGTTGCCCCGTTGACCTTTCATGCTGACGTATGAGTACAGTAGTCTTTCGCTCTGGAGCTGACAAAAACTACTCTATGTGGAAGGATTGGAAGGTCTTACCCATCATTTCCGTGGCACCAATTCGGCGCCCCAAACTTGACGAGTCTGGCGCAGATTACTCCTTCAGCCAAGAACGAGAGCTGATGAAAGAAAAAATGAGGACAGTACTCAGGATTGCTGCCCTGCGGCAGCATCCGGATCTATGCATTGGGTCTTTTGGTGTTGGTTTTGGATTTCGCAACCCAGCGGTCCAGGTAGCAAGCATGTGGAGAGAACTTCTCTTCTGCGAATCTGAATTCCAAGGAGCTTTCTCTAACATAGTTTTCGTCTTGGAGAGTGCCTCGAATGGTACTTCGAAAAGCGGCCTGACTGATCTTGAGGTCTTCAAAAGGGAGTTCGATCCCTCGAACGTTATCAAGACCAGCTTCAGATGAATACTCAGCATATGTGAGGTGGTGGACTCGCGTCTCTGGCCTGCAGCTGCTTCATAAACTGGCTAGAATCCACACTTCCATCCATCGTTGAAAGTGGTGACTCATTTTTGCGGACATAATACGCAAGATGCAATCGGGACAGACGGCATTATCCAAGATGCCGCCGAATATGCCCGCAAAACTCGACAACGCCATGAGACCCGTCGCTTATGTATTCAGCCGATGTTGCAATTGTGTGGGTGTGGCCCCTATGGCCGAGAATGTTCATCTCGGCCTCCGGCAGGAGAAGGCTGCTGTTCCAGATTCTACGCCACGACGAGAACGCAAAACTTTCCTGAACGCTCAGGCCACTTGACATATGGCCTCTTATCTGAGCATTGAAGTACACTGATCGAGCTTTCCTCGTTGATGTACAGAAGCGCTGATGTCTGATCTGAGTTGTACCAGGACCTGGTTATCCTCGGCTGGCTGCATACTTGGGGACCACCGAACCGGACCCAGGCCCAGGGTTTGAGTAGAACCTAGGGGCCTATGATTGGCAAAATTTGTGTGGCAGAAGATACTGTCCGCAAGTTGATTGGCTCTAGGAAGCGACACCATTCATGACCCAATCCACCATTGAGATTATGCTAGCCACTGCATCATAGTGCAGCAATTAGTGTAATTTAGAAGTTATGCACAAAGTAATGTGGCATCCACCCCAACATTCACGGGCCTTTATACTGCAAGGAGAGCTTCAAACCACAGATCCGCTAGTGTTTGAGGGGCTTTTCTTTAAGCAATTACAAATACCTTGCTGTAGCTAAAGGCGCTAATGTACGTCGCTCGATCTGGGACCGCAAAGTAGCTGAGGATGCTCGTGGGTAAAGTACCTAGTTGGCAGGAGCCACCGCAGTACTTTACATAGAGTAGATACCTTAGACCTTTCTCCCAGACATGATCATTTTGACAACCAAAATTCTTTCCTCTCACCTTTCAGCATTCCTTATCTATTTCCGAACCATTACCGAATACCTATGATATCACTCTGCGACAATTCAGCTTTCAAGAACCCAATCCCTGTGGCCTAGCAGTAGAGTACATCGGCCTCGGACTCACAACTGAGGAACTGGGGCGAATCCCCCCACGGAACGGCCTCCGATCTATCACAGACTCTCACGTGTTCCTTGTGTATATGGCTAGACCTTTCTTGGCTATCAACAACGACAAAATCACTACCTCGAGCGATGATCTATCGACTGCATATGCTGCTTTAACTATATCGCAAGAGGCATATCCTGGCCTACGCTTCCACATGCGCCACAGTGTGTTGGATATAATACACAAGGAGGTGGTAGATTGGCGCGACTCGAGCTGGACGTCTACGAACCTGCCTGGGAATAAGACGTGTGAGGATACTGTCCAACCTTGTACGGTTGCAGCCCCTAACGTTATGCTGATTCTAGTGGGTAGCCTTTGTTCTGTGTCTCTCTTCTTGGGACGCACGACAACCAACCGGACTGGCGAGCGATGACGATCTGTGGAAGCGTGTTCTTGCGTAGATAATCTCTGTGCAAATGCTTGCGCGAAGTTTCCCAACACCACAAAACATGGACACCCTGACATTGCCCCTTACCCGGTACCACAAAACGAATCAGAATGATGACAATTGGCTCAATACAAGACTTGTGAGCAGTTTGAGACAGCAGACGCAATGGAAGCATTCACCAGCATTTGGCCATCAGGCTCGCAACAATTCAACTGCGTCATTGTGGCCTGAGAGAGATGATGCGCTGTCACGAGAATCACTTCTAGCAGAACAAGTCTCACTCAACCGACGTTTGAGACAGAGAGAAGACGGAGCCGCCAAGGAGAGCATTGACACGAAACGGTGCCGTCATAGCGAGCTATCTGGAAAGGAGCCTGAACGACGTCGCTTTTTACCTTCACGCTACCGACGCCGCTTGAAGTCAGCTTCTCCACATCGAGTTCTAGCTGGGCTTTCTGGTCCCCAATCAGAGGCATTAAGCCCATGTGGTAGGGTCAAACAGAAGAACGTTCTCAAAGTGATGCGCGGCCTGCGAGTGCGAAATGTAAGTGATGATGGTCACCGTTGGTCATTAGAGCCCGTGTTGAGATCAGAAGACCATCCCGTTTTTGTTCAGCCTGTCAAGGAATTTGTCATGAAACGATGGAGAGTCTTTCGTTCGGGAAGGCGCAGCCGGTCGTCAATCTTTGCTTTGAGTGAAGGTACTGGGAAACGTCTGGATTATCAACGTGCTGCTTCTAGCATCTCCCGGGACTCGAGACAGCTAAGTCGACGTACCCAGATCACGACGATGATTCAGGGCAGTGGGATTTCCCTTGGACAGCAGGCTCCTGACAACGAAGCTCCATCGAGAGCATCAGCAGGAAGAGAACAAATCCTGACCAGTGCTGAGGCCTCACAGGATTCCACCAATCATGCTCAGACAACCACCAGATCAGAGCCGCTGATCGCGATTGAATGCTCAGACGAAGACCTGCCCATGGAAAGCACCGACTACCGTCCTTCTACAGAATTGGGTCCTCGCCCTTCTCTCCGATTCTCAGAATCAGGTCAAACAAGAAACAGGACGTCAACCTTGGGGACGACTATATACAATTCGCCGTTGATTGCAGAGGCTTCTCCCAATTCGAAGAAGCTCGAGAGCGATGGGAGGACCTCTTCTGGCACGTCAAGTTCAATGAGAGATCCAAATGAATTCCTGCACGGGGGAGAGATAGCCAGCGCGTCAGAATAGATTTACCAACCTACGTAAATGTAACCCCAATTCCTACAAAACCATACTAAACCATTCGGATAATTCCTACTGCGCTGCTTGAACCCCATCTAATCCAGGGATATTCTGCCCGTACGCAATTCTAGAATCGAGGACTATTTGCCACACCCGGCACCGTGGTACGAGGGCCGATCATATATTCGGTTGACAAGATTGGCAGACTCTCCTTATACCGTCGCTGATGGCTGGGATATAGCCAACCCAAGGCTCCCCCCAACATCACAAATACCGATGTTTCATATCCCATATATGGTTGGTATCGAATTGCAACACAATGCTTGCTAAAAAGGTTCTTACAAAAAGCATGTCAGTGTTATTCTGTATGAGAGCACTTCATGAATGAAATCCTTTCCGCCCCTTTTGTAAAATTGTAAGAGAATTTATCAAAAGTCATGCATAGAGGGACTCTACTCCAGGGGAGTGTCAAAGAATTCACTCACGCCCCTATGCGCGATATTTGCAGGCCGCTCTTACCATAGCTGTGAATAGCCATTATTGGCCAGCACTAGCGCGGTTGCTTTGATCAACAAAAATGACGGAACTCCTTCAAACTTTCAACACCAGTATCACCTCACCTTCTTTTTCAATCACATCTACCTACACTCGTTTGCGTCAAGAAGTCAATCACACTCGTTGTATCAGCAAAGTACAGCCATCTTTCCTAGATTATTTACCACTTGCCTCCTTACCAAGATGCGTTCTCTTAAGCCACTCCTCCTGGTTGGCATCAGTGCTGCTGCTGCCACTGCAGAGTAAGTATCCTCAGCACGACATCGATATCCTTAGCCCACTGTATGAGGACATCACGTCCTCGTTGAGACTTTCTGTGGAAGGATCACGCGTTGTGTAACTTACCTGCGATGAGTGACACTGACCTCGAAACCCCAGAAACAGCTCTTGCAGCCCCCTGTCAACGGTATTTGTCACCGTACCTGCTTCGCCAACTACCGAGACAATCTACGCTCTTGGCAATGGGCCAATGGCCACTGCGGACATCAAAGCTATGGTCAACGGAGCTGCACAAGTAACTTCGACTGCAATCACAACGACCGTCACCGCCTCGGTAATCTCCACTCAGGTCATCAGCGTCATCCAGGCTTCCTCGCCAGTCGAAGGTCAAGCAGCTTACTCTTTCATCGAGGACAATGGTACCACGACCTGGCTCGGTGCAACACCACCAGCTTCGGCTTCCCTGATCACTAGCACTCAGATCGTCACTCTGCAGCCAGTTCCTCCCGGCTATGTTGCTCCTCCCGTCGAGATCACTCCCGTCACAAGCTACTTGACTCTTTCCTCCACTAAGACAATTACCGAAACTCGTACCGAAACCCAGACGCTGGCCAGTTTCACTGCTTTTGCGTCAGCCGGAGCGTACACTGGACTTGCATCTCACGGTTGGAACTCGAGCATTTCGACGTTGATCACGGTCAAATCCCTTGCTATTGGATCAGTCATTATTCCACCTTCCGGTATTGTGTCTTTTTCTCCTGGCAACGCAACCCATCAAATCAAGGCTAGGGATGTTACAGATATCGTCGTCGCAACCATCGATGGTGTGGCTGTCTCCTGGACCAACAACTATGATGGCACATTTCCGTCATCTTCAGATACATCACCAATTGCTGTCCCAGTCACAGCGACAGCACTACAATCCGAGCCAAAATCTTCTCGTAAGTTCCCCAGGCTGTGAACTGAGCATCGACTAACACGTTTTCAAGCGACCTCTAGCACCTTTTCTAGCCCAGTGCAAACAGAATCAAGTTCTCCCACGGGTGCAACCACTACGGTCGGCGTCTATGCGTGGGACCCGATCCCTACTCCCTTCCCAACAAGCACGTCTTCGTCATCTGGAGCTCAGCTGACAACGAGCCATGCCTTGTATTCAAACACTTCGACAGCCTCGAGAACCGCGGCCACTGCCATTGCCTCTTCATGTGGTGATGCATCCGCTCAGTTCATGATAGACTTCGACGATTTACCAGCTTTTTCGGCAGGTCCTGGGGTATGTATATCTTCTGAGCCCATGTCTTCCTTTATTGAAGCACTTTCGGGTTGCAAAACAATGTTCCAGGAGCAAAGACGCTCTTAACACCCCTTCGAGCTCTCTTCTGGCTCGAGACCCTGCCTTGAAGGAAAAACGCTAACTCCAATTTCTGTGTAGGACACAGATATTCCTCCTATCTTCAATCCCTACCATAAGCTATTCTTCCAAGAGTACTTCGGATACGTTCCTCCTCCATCTGATCCTTTTCCACCTATCTCGCCTCCACAGCTCGCAGTATATCGCGCGGACGGGTCAGGGGCGACCGGTTCACCAGACGCGGGGGTATGTAGATTCTTGGAGCAAATCTCTCTTATCCTGGACCACACTACGAGTCGCGAGACATGTTTCGCGAGCAAAAGACTCTCGGTACCCGTTCGGGCTCTGTCATTGCTCGGTTTTTCGCCTTGAAGATGGAATGCTGACCCGGAAATCTTATAGGTCGAATTGTCTGGTGAGATTGGTAGTGGACCGAGGGCATCGGATAGTGCCTACTGGATCGATGCCTACTCAGCTTATCTTGGCTGCACCAATCCTGGCCCCGAAGACTGCAGCATCATGGTCAAAGGCTATCAGAACTGGTCTACATTCAGTGTCATTACTCAGGGATTTACCCAGCCCCCCTGCCCAGGAATGAAGAAATGCTCTTTGGCGTTGGTGGAGTTTGCTGACGGCTTCCGCGGTTTGACGGGGCTTCAAATCATCGCGACGGTTGGAACCACGCCCGTTGACTGGTACATGGACAACCTGAGCCTGGGTTGGTCCAACAACACGTGTGCAGCGCAGCTGGAGCGTTCCTCGCAAGAGTAGAAGTGGTGTGGGTCAATATTCTCTGGTCTGGACTGGATCGTTGGTTGAGAATCATGGTGGACTTATCTTCTTCCATAAACCCCCTTTATTGCGCGCCCTTTGGCTAGGCGCAAGCCTTATTGCTCCACAGCAGAATAGTACATGCTCAAGCTAGATTCATGATAGATTGTTGATGCAGGAATGTCTCGAAAGCATGGGTGGAAACAATTTACGCCCCCAACCAGACTGCCAAAAAGCTCCACTTTTGTAGCTTCTGAGCCACAGCAGCCACAATTGGCGCTGGCGTCGCTTCAAATATGCTTTGACTCTCCTTCCCATTTCCCCACAGACATTTGCCAAACCAGTGTTTCGTCATCTGTCCTGTAACATCTTCATCCACTTATGCGCTCCAAGCGTCATGAGGGTTATGCACATGCAAATCCAAGGAGAGGTACGGAGCGTGCCCTTCAACATTCAGGTAGTTCGTGATACGTGCGCGAGGAACCAATGCTGTTGCTACCTATGTCAGATGAAAGGATCATGGTCGGAGCCTTTGATGCGATTCTCCTATCTTAATGTCTTTGAACCCTGTCAGGCTGATTTCACGGTTTTTCTGTCATTATCGATTACAGTCTTTACTGTTCTGTTTGTGATTACGTTCCTATGTGCTCTCGTCAATTCTTCAATGGAGAGCCATGATGTCTGTCCTTACCATACTGCTGCTACTAGCAACATGTCTATCTATGCTGGCCGATGGCGCGCCAAACAAGAAGAACGACGAAAACTTTCAATCTCTTGGCCAACTCCGACCTCAGGGTTTCTCCCCAAACCCGACTAAGAATACCAGTGACCCAAGCATGGCTTCCTCCGGTAGCTTGAGGACACCGTTGGGTAATAGCTTTGCGACGGGCTCAGGATGGTTCCCTGTGCCCTCTGGCACTGCCAACACCGGTAGCAGCTTCGGAAGCAGCGCCGTTGAGCCGTATCCAACCGAGGGAGCGCCGTATCAGAACGCTACATCGTCATATACAAAGCAGGGCAATGGGGATGGCGGGAATGGTCAGAGTGGATCGGGGAATCAATGTCCGCCTCAGCAAACGGTTACACTGCCTTCAGAGACGACTACTCTGCCAGCACAAACTGTCACTATAACCCCAGCTCCGGAGACGATTACGATAACTTCTCAGGCGCAGACAGAAACAGTGACCGTCACTGTGACTCCGCAAACGCAGTTAACGACAGTGACAGTATGGATGACGGTGACAGCGAACCAGGTTCCTAGCTGTCCGAGTCCCAGTAACGCATCGAATCCCCAGATCGCTCCTGTCCCTGCTCCAAATGCGCAGCTTTCAAATACACCAATTGCACCAGCCTCTGACAACGCTTCTACGCCTGCCACTGTACCTCCATTTGTGACTACACCATATCTCGTGGTGCCCCTATCTACAGGCGGTGCGGTTCCAATCGCAAACGCCACATTGCCTGTCATCCCTAATTTGGGTTCCACTACTGCGACTGGACCAACAAACTTCTCTGCAAAATATCAGAGCAGCCCAGTCGCTGAACGAACTTCTTCCTTCGTCTTGCCAATCATCACCAGCACCCCAATCATAGCCCCATATCCCTACCGCAACACTAGCAACCAAACGCTTCCATTCGGCTCAGGCTCCTCTCACGGCTTCAGAGCTACAGGATCCGGTTTCGCAAAACAGACCGACAGACACTTTTCAAGCTATTTCCTCTACAAGGTCGTCACCGACGCACCGACAAGCACGACCACAACTGGCTTTTCTTCAACCAGAAAATATTTTCACCTATCGTCGTTGTTGACACCGCCGTCGCAGGCCAATGCCACCGTCTTCCCATCAACAGCTGGACCTACGGCTCCGCCTTCTTCTCCGACAGGAGAATACTTCCCAGACGATGGATCCTCGCTGCTGACGCCGCCGACTCTGGCGAATGCAACGGCTTCGCCCACGATGGAGTACTTCCCGGATGATGGGTCGAGCCTTCTAACGCCGCCGGCTCAGGCAAATGCTACGAATGTTTCACCTTTGGGTGGACCTACGGCTCCCATAATTACGCCGGCGATCGTTGCTTCGTCTCAGGCTTTGGCTGCGGTGGTGGGGTCTATTATTACTACTCCCCCTCCTCCTCCGATAATACAAGTAAATACTTCGACCACGATACCTCCGGTATCTACACCCATACCACCACCCTCTCCACCAATAGTACAGCCAAATACCTCAATCTCACTACCAGCATCTACGTCCAGCTCTCAAATATCCCAGCCAATAACCACCAGCACTTCCCCCCTCTGCACCAACGGCACAACCGCCCAAAACATGACCACAAACGTACGTCCCTTCCACCGCTCTTCGTGCACAATCCCTCTAACACTATGACCACCAGTTCTCCGAAATCCCACCCATACCCTCCATGCCCCTCATCCTTCAAGGCCTAAACTTCACCACCTTCGCCCCCTTCACCACCACCACCTCCAATTCCACATCCCCCCTCCCGCCCTCGACCCACCTCCTCGCCCTCTCCGCCTCCGAACCGAAACAGATCACCCTCGCCCCCGACTCCCTCTCCTTCTCGATCACATCCCTCGCCCTCTCGTGCGGCGACACGCCGTCCGAAGTGACGGCGACCTGCACGGTCCAGATGTTCGGCATCGGTGCGGCGTCGGGGACGGAGCGGACGGTGGCGGTGGCGGGGCCGGGGATGCGGACGGTGCGGATGGAGGAGGAGGGGAGCTGGCGCGGGTTGAGCAGGGTGAGTTTTACGGCGGAGATGGGGGGCGCGCCGGTGGGGGTCCGGTTGGGGGCCGTGGCGTATGAGTTGGTCAGTGCATGCTGATGGCCGGGACGTTGGCGGCTGTGTATATATGTGGTGTATATGTTGTTTACAATGTAACATCAACAAAGTTGTCGACCGAACACTCTAGATTTCGGCCTTGTCTCAGACCGATGGATTTTCGTGGTCGAGAGCAGGATTGAAATTCTAAAGTCCGGCACGTGTGGACTTCGGCAGCAAACCTTCCACGCACGACTTCCACTCCCGTACCCCGTGCTTTTAGCGACTCGTTGACCTCAAAGCACGTGTCGATCCGGGACATCAGATTTCCGGGGGGCGGGGGGGTGGAGCCTGGCGCTTCTCGGACGTCGTGTTGGTTCGGGAGCCTGGCCGAGGACGTGGTATCTTACTTCCGATGCTGCTTACGTGTGGAAGTCTGATGAGGGTTGAAGGAGGCGGGTTGATGTGTTGGGGTGTCGTCGCGTGGGTGTGGGAATGTGTTGAGGTAGGATTGTGGGTGTTGGGTTGGAAAATGTGTGGATGTGTTGTCTCGAAGTGATGTGTTGGATGGTGTTGATGGTGTTGATGTGTATCATGTGTCATCATGTATTGAACATGCCCGAACGAGGAAACCCTGATTGCGGCACCGATCAGAGGCAGGAAGCATGTCAGCGTACTGTTGCTCTCACCAGACGCCCAGTCAATTTCTCCTTCCTTCCTGCTCGCTGGACCATAGAACAACGTCGCAGGTCCTGTTTACCCCACACCCATCAAGCATGGTTCACAACGACCAGAATAGTGGCAGGGAGGAGAAGGTGAATTGGAGGAAGAAGGGAAGCAAAGAGGAGAGAAGAGGGCAGGCCATAGCCAATGAAGCTAATTAGGAACGTGAAGATGAAGAAGCGTGTGGGGGAGTGGTGCGAAGGAACAACGGAGAGACTAGTCATACGGGAATAAAATAGATGGTATAAGTCATAGGTTTGTTGGTTGTGTGTATGGTACGTATGGTATGAGAGCGCAATAGCGCGCTCGGGTTCGGGTATGTACCGAAGTGGCTATGACTCGGGATGATGATTGATGACCAGGGCTTCCTCCGGACTTGTACGGCTGGGCCGTCTAATATACACGCAGCTGCCAGACCAACTCCGTTTCACCGCTCCGGGTCAGTGTCCATACCGTTGCTGGACCGGTATCGGTCGATTGATGTAAACATCAGCCCTGTCTAGAGCTCCGCTCGCTCTTATCATTCTTTCGGCCTCTTGCTGCTCGTACTGCCGGGACATGTATTGAAGGTCTTCTATCTGGCTCTGGGTACACGTCAGCATGCTCACCGCTGATCCTGAAGGAAGGATGCTGACCTTGGTCAAGGCACTGCCGGGGTTACTGATCAGATACCCCTCCCTCTGCTGGTAGGTGAATGGTCGCACGGAGACATAAGGACCGAGATGGTATTGTATATGCTATCGGACACATTTCCGAGTTAGCATTTCTACGGCAGAATGCAATCCAAGTCCCAAGACAGAGTTTGGGAGTGGTATCGAAGGTGGCACAAAGGTACCACTCTCGGAACATGTCTTGCGACTCAAGAAAAGATATAATTTGGAACAAAAAAGCACCGAGGTAAGCCATACGGTGAACATTATGTGTCGGGATATGGAGTAGCCGGGGACGAAGTAGGTGGTGTAGGCATTACTGGAAGTGGAGTTTGTTGAAGGCATTGTTGGAGCTGCGCGGGTGAAGAGTGTAGATCAAAGTCAGAGCAAGAGAGGAGGGCATCCCCTTTTGTGCGAAGGGAGTCGTCTACCGCTTTGGAGAATCTCACTGAGCTGAAAGACAAACCCGGCTGCCTAGTCAGTAAGAGGTTCAAATCCAGACCTTTTCCCAGGGCGACGACACCTAGTCATGAACCATGATAGATATCTCACGAATACCGATTCCAGCCGAAGATCGCTCTCTAGCCAATGATCCAGGCTCTTAAGCATTCAAATTTCCAACCCCGAATGTCAGCGTGCTGCTGCAGGTTGCCATACCTCATCCACTCCTCCCTCGCCACGTATAAACAAGGCGAGGAGTTGCGTTCAAGCAGCATGGAACGTTTCTAGGCTCAAGATGCTCGAATCACAACGAAAAAGGTAATTGTGGGTTGGTAGTCCCCGCTGCAAGCTTGCCTATCCTGCCCGTCATTGGCCGCCTCGCGAGCGCAAGGCTGATCCGATACTCAAACGATATGTAGCGAGAGCTTGATCGACTTTCACGACGGACAGAATTCGATCTGATAAGGATGAGTCTCTCTTCATGAACATTACCATCGCGGCTCATAGTAGTACAACGTGACATGCAGGAGCTAGTGAGCGACGCCCTGTTTTACTGTGTACCTGGACCCGCGACAGAGCCTCATCCGGTTCGGGACGCCGTTTGCTGCCTCGAAATCCATGGCTTTCAGTAGCCTCGTCAATGGCTTTATTATGGCGGTGAATAATGTATGAGGAAAAACCGACCAAGCCTTGCTTGCCCCAAACATTGAAGAGGCAGGCATGTACAGGGGTTAGAAGATCGCAAGAGAGCCTCACAGTAGAAATCAAGCCCTTATTGACGTTCACCTCGTGTTGATCTTAATGGCTGTCGGTAATGAGTGAGTACGAGATAGGAATCTTCGGCACGCGTGTATCCTTCTGAACAGAACCAAAATGATATCTCGTATGTAGGGCAGGCACCCAAAAATCCATCCGCATACATCCTCAGATAGTCCCAAAATATCCGTTGCTCATTGCGGTCGAGCCATTGTCTCAGCTTCCTCGATATGTAGTATAACTCCACGGCCCCAGCAATAACGGCACATGATAATGTCCCCTATCCGGCAATACCGAAAATTTGACCTCCACTTCTGGGAAAAAGGTATTACCCATCCCATAGTACTTTCCCGTCTCAAATTTCAACGACCATACCATTCCGCCTTCCGGATGCTCATGTAGATTCTCGAAAATCTCGGCTAAGGATGGACCGTCTGGGGCTTCCCAGCTCGAAATTCGACCGTCTGCGTTGGTGAGGGCCTTGAAGGCGGCCGAGGGACCAAATGGCTTGAGAAGGGTGAGGGAGACTGAAAGGCCCGGAGCAGGGACGCCGCTGACGAGGTCGAGGACGTGGCAGGTTATGGGATCTTTTGGCTTGCTGGTGGTAGCCGCTGGGAGGAGTGAGGAGGGTTCCTTGGGTAGGTCTTCAGATTGACCAGGGTTTTCCATGTTGCGGATTGACAGTGACAGTGAAATGATGAGGAATAAGGGAGGAGAGACAAAAGATGTAGCGGTCTGCAATACCTCTCGTAGCTCAAGGGGACCTTAACTTCCTTAAGATCATTTTGAAAGGGGGCATCCGCGTGAGAAGGGTAGTTTAGAAAGGCGGCGTGACTGCTGAAGGGTCCAGCTACTCTACTCGTAGTCTACTTTAGAGCCTGGCCAGCGATGATCCCGCGCTCCAGGCTTCGAAGTTCAAGCATCACAATTCAAAGCTACGTCAGGCCATCATCCAACTTTGACACTCCAGTTGCCAACACTCGTGACCTTCTCCAAACAAACCTAATTATTCTTCAAACATACTCTGAACTACTCGTACAGTCCCCCTGGATTAGAATTACCATCATCTCCACAATCTGTACCACCATCATCCAACACGACATTCGACCCCCACCACCCTTCACCAACATGTCCGCAACAGTCGACGCCGACTCGGAAGACCTCGCACCAACTCTCGAATCTATAATACACCAAAAGTCTCTCCGCTGGATCTTCGTCGGCGGCAAAGGAGGTGTAGGCAAAACCACCACTTCCTGCTCCCTCGCCATCCAGCTCGCCCGTGTCCGCAAATCCGTTCTCCTCATCTCTACAGACCCCGCGCACAACCTTAGCGATGCTTTCAGCCAGAAGTTCGGTAAAGAGGCGAGACTGATTGATGGCTTCACCAACCTGAGCGCTATGGAGATCGATCCGAATGGGAGTATACAAGATCTACTCAAGGAGGGTGGCGAAGGGGCCGAGGAGATTATGGCGCAGACTGGGGGAATGGGAGGGATGATGCAGGATTTGGCATTTAGCGTAAGTCTTCGGGATATGAAGCTGATCATATCCAAGTCATGCGGTTGACTGGTCTCGCAGATACCTGGTGTGGACGAAGCCATGTCCTTCGCAGAGGTGCTGAAGCAGGTCAAATCGCTCTCTTACGAGACCATCATCTTCGATACCGCACCTACAGGTCATACTCTACGATTCTTACAATTCCCGACAGTGATGGAAAAAGCGCTTGCGAAGATTTCACAGCTATCTACGCAATTTGGACCTATGCTTAATTCCGTCATTGGCGCAAGAGGTGGACTACCTGGTGGACAGAATCTGGACGAGGTCATCGCGAAGATGGAGACGCTGAGAGAAACCATTGGAGAGGTCAACACTCAGTTCAAGAACCCAGATATGACGACCTTCGTATGCGTCTGTATTCCCGAGTTCTTGTCGTTATACGAGACGGAGCGCATGATCCAGGAGCTTTCATCGTACCAAATCGATACACACGCCATTGTGGTAAATCAGCTGCTATTCCCGAAAAAGAATAATCCCTGCGAGCAATGCAATTCAAGAAGAAAAATGCAGAAGAAGTATTTGGAGCAGATTGAGGAGCTATATGATGAATTCAATGTCGTCAAGATGCCATTGCTGGTGGAGGAGGTTAGGGGAAAGGAGAAACTGGAGAGGTGAGGGCCTATTGCGCTTAGACTTCCTGTGACTTGGCTAACGGGTCATTGTACCGCAGTTTCAGCGAGATGCTCGTCAAGCCATATGAGCCGCCAGAGTGAGCTATGCAGTATGTTCAAAACAATACTGTCTAAGGAGGTGTCAATTATCACGAGCTTTCGTCGACTGTCAGCGAGTATAGTAGATCCCAGTCAAAGTGCCAACCTTGTCAATGCAGAGAAAATAACCACAGAGGGTGATGTCCAAAATTCAGACCGCTAACCGTCGTCCTTTTTCGATCTCTCCGTGGGCTGTCATTCTTAGAACCCATCAGCCTTCGCAGACAGCCGTCATCACATCTTTGATAATCCTATTCAGGTGGTAGCTCCCATCGTCAAAGATTGCCACACTGTAGCGTCTTACTCATCACAGGAGCTAGGTCTCATTTGATGACTGCTGAAGTACGCGGCTGAGAAGAGACCCATACGCCACTGTGGAGCAGCAGTAAGCTTCGCTGGTCAATTCATGGGCTCACATAGTCTCTTTTCTATGGTTCTATTTGTGTTTCAGATATATAATTTGGCGTCTTGCTGACCATGTCTGCTCATTATTGACCATCCTTTTGCCTTTTCCCCTTCACCAGACCACTCTTCTACGAGTCTCCGCTCTTTCAAGACCCTTCAAGACTCACACGACCGGACTCCCTACATCCAAAAATCCAACTCAGTCGCAATGGCAGGACTTTTCGGCGGCCTCATGGCGCCCATCATGGGCCCCGTCATCTCTGGCCTCTTTGGTGGCATCGTAGGCCCACAACCCGCAGCAGCTCCAGCGTCCGCTCCCGCCACTACTCCCGCCCCAGCACCTCAACCAGACCAAAACGACCAAGGGCAAGCACAAGGAGGGCTCAACCTCGGAGGGCAGAGTTTGGTAAGGGCTGTCCAAAGCGAAAGGGTTGGGGAGCGAACGGCTAACAGAAATTGGGCTTAGAACTTGAACATTGGTGGTAAAGGGTCGCCGCGCCCCAAGGTGCCTGTGAAGGGAGGGAAGCGGTAGAACGATGTAGGATAGTGAGTGGTTGGAGATGGGATTGTTGGTAGTTTGCATTGCCTGCTTTCCTTGCACTTGTGTTGGTATTAGACGAAAAACGTGTTCACTCCGGTGCTCGAATAACGCTTCTACTTCCTATTCTCTACCGACCAAAAAACTCAACTGCTCAGACCATCTTGTCCCCACCTTACTTACGACAAGTTCCCTTGCATCCACCCCCGGACCAACATTGGAGTCGCCCAGGATGTGTAAAGTAAAGTAAAGTAAAGTAAGCTTTCCCGCCAAAAAGGACCAATGCGCCTAAGCGAGCACTTAGCGCTGACTAAGCCCTACCTTAACAAGCGAGGGAGTTGGGTGTCCGCTTATCAAAAGAGCCCGGCCGGCCTCCACCAACGTTCGCGTCTGGCTTCGACTTTCCTTTTCGAGCATGTGCTGGAAGTCTGGCCAGGACGGCGGTTCCGGAAAGGGCGCCACGGGGGCTGGGGTTTCGAAGACGGGCCGATTTGGTAGAGTGGCGTACACGTTCGAGTGCGGTCGAGTCGTTGAGGGTTGTTTTGGTAAGAGAGGTGGAAGAATGGTGGTGAAATGGGATCGAGGGGTGAGTGTTGGCTGTGAGGCTTGAGTTTGAGTATATGGATAGGGATGCATGCGTAGAGAGATAGGTCAAGGTAAGTGAGACGCAGGACACCATTGCAGTTGCAAGATCTTATCTATCTATCCATCAATCCATCTACGAACGCACTTTTCGCTCCCCCCCCCACCCCTTGATCACCGACCCCCGGAAAGAACCACGCAGATACATCGTAACGACCACCCCCAGCAGCAAAACATGCGCAGCGAACAACAGCGTCAACAACAGCACCGTCGCCAAGCTAAGGCAAAACACCGTCAGCCCCCAGCCCAGTACGACCTGTCTAGCTGTCCATCCTTCAAACGACAGCAGGAACCCCAGGCGCAGACGAAGTAGCCGGGGTAGTCCAAGTGTTCGGGAGAGTCACTCCTCCTCTCCCTCCGGATGCGGTGCATCAGGAGCCAGACCGTGCTGGTTGGAGAGGGCACCGAGAGCGTAGGTGCCGAGGTGGATGAAGGACTCCATGTGATCCTTTGTGAACCCACCGGCAGCTGTATCGAGCGTCAGCAACCGCATGTGGGGACAACGATTGTTATCAGAAGTACTCACCGACTTTGCCCTGGTGGTACATGGCATTGTGGTGATTTTTGTCGTATGTCCTGCCAGACTTGCCGACGGGCTTGTGGGCCATCTCCTTTCCGACCTTGCCCTCTTCCTTCTTCATCAGCTCCCCGGGTTTACCGGCTTCAGGTTTGCCCTCTTCCATCTTCTTCAGCTCCCCGGCTTTGCCGGCTTCAGTTTTGCCAGCTTCAGGTTTGCCAGCTCCAGGTTTGCCAGCTTCAGTCTTGCCAGCTCCAGGTTTGCCAGCTTCGGTCTTGCCAGCCCCAGGTTTGCCTGCTTCAGATTTGCCGGCTTCAGGCTGACGCTTGGTCATGGCGCCTTGCTGGCCGGGGCGTCTGTTAGGAGTTTGGCGGCCTTGCTGGCCATTCATGGGGCCCTGCTGGTCTTGTTGGCCGAAACCCTGCTGGCTTGGGTCTTGCTGGCCGAAGCCCTGCTGGCTTGGGTCCTCCTGCCCCTGTTGCTCCTCTCCATAGCCATTCTGGTCCTGTTGGCCATATGGATCTTCGCCTTGCTGTTGCTGGTCATAGCCTTGGTGTTCTTGTTCACCGTAGCCCTGGTCTTGACCCTGCTGGCTATAATCCTCTTGGCCGCCCTGTTGACCATACTGCTGTTGCTGACCGTATTGAGACATCTTTTTGGAAAGTTGAGATTGAAGGATCAAGTGACGAGCTAAAGAATTTCTTGAAGTAGATCTTCTGTGAGAGTTTGTTCGTGGAAGTGGTGGCGAGAGAAGAGCTGGAGGATCCGTGGTGAATGAGACTGAGAGTCAGTGAAGATATAAGATTGGAACGTTCTAAGAGGCGGCCCAGACGGTGGTTTTTAAATGGTTCGGGAGATTCCCTTTTTTTTTAGAGAACTATTGATGTTATCCTAAGATAGCGCACCTCGGTCAGAGGCTGAGTACGCATTCTAGACAGAGACGCCTCCAAGGTGTATGATTTCGCAAGTGCACTGACTAGGAGACCTCCGATGAGGCTCTTGGAGCCGAAGTCAGCATAGTGGATGCAGCAGCTGAAATCAGCTTATTATTTGGCGAACAGCTTAGTCACCACTGTTGGATGTTAGTGTCGAATGGTGCTTAGATGGTAAGAACATCGTCTCAAATGCTGAGGTAAACCAAGGTAGTTGAAAAGGCCGGCTTGCCGCTTAGATATAGCGCTAGAGGTAAGCGAGAAAGAGATTTTCGGAGTATGTAAGCTGACTTCGAGTACCTTAGGCACAATATTTGCTTTCATAGCCGCAACCCAGCCTATACTTTCGTAGACACCGAAATAAATCAACGGAGCCCTGTTATAGACTAGCCACTGCACAGTAGTACGCCAGGCCTGCTATGCGACAACTTCTATACGAGGTCGAGATCCAGACCTAAAATTTGTCTTCCTGAATTTAGATGGAACCCTAGGCAGGTCAGCTTTTCGTAGGAGGAGCGCATCAACACACGGACATCCATGAATGATTCGACTCCAGTCGAATCCCGGACGAAGGAGCCTTTCGAGATGGATGATCAGAGCTTCGTGGGCAGTGATACTTACCAAGCGGACTTCGACGCTGGAGCACAATTCGAGTCTCCGGCAAGGTCAGCATCTGGGCGATGGCAGACGATCAACAGCTCGAACACTATGGATCTCGAACGTCACCTGTCTGCAAACTCGGTCTCACGGGATGTCCGCGCAAGTAGCGTTTCAAACCAGCGTTACGACGATAACGACAGGCCAGATTTAACAAACATGGTGTCGACGCACTCCGAAGGCCAGTCCTATGAGAATGATCGCACTATAATGAATTCAGATCGTGTTCTCGACTCTCGTGAGCAAATGGAATCCGCAACTTTAACTCCTGGCCGTTCCCCGAGTCAGGCCTTCGGCAACAATGGCAATCACAGCAATCTAGAAAGTCGTTCTGACTTGAGCGAGAGATCACAGTCCGGAAACACGATTTCAACGCCCTTCCTAGACCCGGGCTTGATGGATCCTCATGCAAGTAGAGGTTCAGACCATCCCTACGGAACCAGCGAGCCACAGGAACCGGCAAACCTCATGCCAGCCGCAAACATCAACCACAAATATGACAATGTTCGCACGAGCAGCTCTTCAGACCAACGTCGGGGTTCTAGCGAGCGATTGGACTCGGTTCATCTAGTGTCACCATCCGGGATCGAGCGTCGTAGAAGAAGTCCAAGCCCAAGGCCTAAGGTCAGCGCCGAAACAAAAGCTCGATGGGCGATGTTGAAGCAATTAGCTGGCGTTTCTCAACCGCGTGATGTGGAAGAGGAAGACCGGAATGAAGGTCGAGACGAAGAGACGCGCACCACAGAAGTCGACTCCCGTATTAGAGAAGAATCCAACGCGAATGATTCATCGCAGACGGGTGACCATGTCGATGATGCAAGCATCGAACGATACCTGCAGAAGTTGCAAGGAGACCCTCATATTGACAGTCGAGGACTCCGGGAGGGTCTCTCTCGAATGCAATCATACAAGGGTTCGAACAGTCAACAGGATCAACATTCGGCTCATGAAAGTCATTTCGAAGGCAATACGTACTCAGGCGCTCGAAGACCAAGTGAGGACATTCGTAACAGTGGAATGGAAAACGAAGTTCGTGGAGCGGAGCAGGATGCGCAGGACAAACTCAATAAGGGTAAAGGAGAAGCTGAAAAGGCCTTGAGAGGCCGCGAAGCAGGTCTGCGGAGAGATGAACATGCTCTCGGAGCTGGCCTTGAAGGAGCCGGTCGCAGAGCGGAAGGGGAACTCCGATCAGCTGGCCGTGATGCCCGAGACTCCCTCCAGAAAGACAAGAACGGGTTTGAGCGAGATGTTCGAAGAGATACTAGTATGGCAGATGCGGAAGTGCACAAATTAGGTGGTCAGACAGCAAGAGAGTTCCGAAGAGGAGAACATGGTCTGGAAGCTGGCCTCGAAGGAGCGGCTCATGCTGCGGAGGGTTTATTGCCCCCCATGAATGTTCTACAGGATCTTCGACAAGGCGAGCACGGTCTGATGGGAGATGTTCACAAGGCCGAGAACGCATTCTCACGTACCGGACTGGGCCAGGAGATTCGAAAAGGCGAGCATGACCTGATTGGAGAGGTTCACAAACTCGAGCAAGAGTTCCCCCATATTGGGCTTGGGCGAGAGTTCCGAAAAGGCGAGCAAAACCTGATGGGAGATATTCACAAAATCGAGAACGAGACGGCCAATACTGGGCTTGGGCAAGAGATTCAGAAGGGCCAGCACCATCTAGTGGATGAGTTCCACAAGCTCGAACATGAGTTGCCTCACCTCGAGCTGGGTCAAGACCTCCGCAGGGGAGAGCATGACCTGAAGCAAGGTCTGCATGAAGCAGCTGATCATCTGCGCAGAGACGAACACGCCTTGGGTAAAGGAGCCGAAGCAGTAGGTCGATCTGTCGAGCATGGGTTGGAAAACATAGGAAGATTCGCCGTCGATGGTGTTGCAATAGCCGGAGGACTTGGGGTGATGCCATTTGACCATGCAGAATCTGGAAAGAGTGCACCCAGCCCCAGACCGAACGTTCTTCAACCTGGCCATGGAATGATCAGCCCCAACGGCCAGCAAATGCCAAGGAACACTCATCAGCCTGGTGCAGGAGGACCTCACCCACTAGGAGCGCCAGGAGCGCATCCAGCTCCAAATGTTCAGAGACTCAACCAAGCTCCTGCAAATCATCGAAATCGACCCTCGATAGTCGAGCCTCCGCATCATCCTCTAGCACCTCGAACGCCGCAGCCCGGTCACAATTGCGGGCCCTCTGGCAGTCAGCATCCCCATCTGTCTCCCAGTCCATCTCCAACAAGGGGTCCTTCTCCTGGCCCGGGAATGAATAAGATTACCCCAGGGAGAATGCCGAGTCCAAGCCCGGGGAACAATCAGAGGAGCCAAATGCCAGTCCGAAAACCTGTGTTGCCTCCACGACCTCAAGGAGCTCCACAGCGCCCCCCTCAACCTCAGCATCCTCAGGGGGCTCCACAGCACCCTCCTCAGCCTCCGCATCCTCAGGGAGCTCCACAGCACCCTCCTCAACCTCCGCATCCTCAGGGAGCTGCTCAACACCCCCCTCAACCTCAGCATCCTCAGGGAGCTCCACAGCACCCTCCTCAACCTCCGCATCCTCAGGGAGCTGCTCAACACCCCCCTCAACCTCAGCATCCTCAGGGAGCTCCACAGCACCCTCCTCAACCTCAGCATCCTCAGGGAGCTCCACAGCACCCCCCTCAACCTCAGCATCCTCAGGGAGCTCCACAGCCACCCCCTCAACCTCAGATTTCTCAAGGCGCTCAACCGCATCCCACAAGAACCCCACAACAGAGGCAGCCTCCGAACGCAATTCCACAACATCCTCCACCTCAACATCCCATGAGTACTCCGCAACACCCACAAGGAGGCAGACAGCAAGGTCAGCCTCCAAATGCAATGTCTCAACATCCTCAAACACCTCATCCACAGGGGGGATCACAGCAAAGGCAGCCTGCAAGTGCCATGCCTCAACCTCCTCCGCTTCCACACCCACAAGGAGCGCCGAACCAGAGATCTCAAAGCCCCACGCCTCCACATCCACAGGTCTCAGATCCACAAAGAGTCCCACAGCAGCGATCCGTCAATGCCAACCCGCATCCTCGACCTCAACACTTCCGAGGAACACCACAGCCGATACTTCCCAAGGACCAAAAAGATGGGGAAGCGCAACGACAAGAAGCAATGGGTAACAGCAACGTGCAGCAAGCAAGGCAAGCGATGCCAGGTGCTGCCATAGGATCTCACCCAGGACGAACTCAGCCATTGTCGAATGAGAGACCCGAATCCGAGGGCAAGACGGACGAGCAGGAACCGAGAGCATCAATTATGCAAGAAAGGAAAAGAATAGCAGCAGAGTCTCAGCGTCGTATTGCAGAACGTCAAGAGCAACAGACCGGGCACGACCGTAGACACGAAGACCACGACGCCGACTCTTGTCCCCATCAGACCGAACGTCACTCAACGACAGAGCATGCAGAAGAGTCTCATTCTATCAGTGGTCCACAAAGCATGTTGAACATGTTCAAAGCTCGAGCCGACGCTGCCATCGAAGCGTCAGGTGATTGCCCAAGCTTCACCGACCGTAAGTCACATCCCGTAATGATGGTATTACGTTCATTGAGTTGACCGGCTGACTTCCAGGTCTTTTGATAGAGATGGTACAATTGTTATGCAAAATGGCCCAAGACGCTATGCCGGAGATCGAACGGAGATTGGCCCAGAATCAGAGGCAAGATTGCTCCTGAATTGGCATATGGGAGATTTGTGAGAGAAAGGAAAAATATATCAAAAAATGACTAACAAAAAGAGGTGTTGATGTTTTGTACAAATTGCTTTGTAAGAGATGTCCAGTGGAGCAGGACTGAGCGTTGGCCAAAATACGGGGGAAACGGAGAAGTGCTCCATGTGGTGAACACTCGTCGACGCACTAGAAAATTTGGAGGCCTCGATTCGTCAGGATGTTAGCCAGGCGGTGTATTTTGAAGGCATCTTTCGCATCATGGTGCTCAATCAATGAGAATGTCTGTCTGAAACAGATGTAGAGTGTGAAGCAGGTGGGCGAGAAGTAGAGTGCTCCATCCGAGACTATGTCGTTAGCCAATTGACGTCCGAGCTTTCGAACTCGCCTGGGAACAGTTTGCAGAAAGCAAAGCTAATCAGTGTATTTGGATTAATGGAATTACTGATATGAGGGAGACCATACCGCTGATACACTCTGAGACGCAGAAATGTATCAAACTCGTTCATCTTTCAGTAGCGAATGGATCAAGCCGAATTTGCGGCAGAGGTCCAGTGCCCAGTTGGTCTCGTCGACTTTGTAATTCGCTACAGACTATGTGTGACGTCCCTGTATTGCTGCTCCTGAAATCGTTCTTCTCTTTCTTTTCGCGATGAAAGGCTCCCAAAGCTGTCATTGAGAGTATCCAAGAATTCTTGAATCTCTAGAGAATGACAAAGTGCAGCATCTCATTCCGCGGTGTGACGGAAACCTTTGGGTCTTCATTGGAAATTCCGGGCCAACCCATGCATGATGCATTGTGTAGGTGATTTTGAGCGATTTGATGATAGTCGTTGGTGCAATTGCCTGTGGAAGGAAGGAAGTCGCCCTCGTAAATGTGAGTACTCTAGTTTGAGATTAGAGTATCGCAAATCCTTGCAATTTCTTGGCGCTATAGTTTGTAAAATCATCGTACATCCGTATTTAAGTGTTGAAGACGGATACTCCAGGAGAGACTCGGGGGTTGCGAGACTTGTAGAGACCTCACTCTTAATAAAGATTCACATTCACGAATAGTCCAGAGCTGGCACTGTTGAGACATGGGCGAAAACAATGTTGGTATTAGCACTCCACAGTGGATGTCAATTACCGGCCAGCCGCTTGACCTGGGGCTCCACAACTCTGGGATTGAAGGTACGAAGCTGCAAATGCCCTTCTGAGCCTGTCTGACCCAGGGGCAGGGCAATGCGTCTCCATCGCCTCATATGAGAAGCTCAATCAGCTCGGTGAAGGCAGTAAGAAAGGCAGACCGTGTATCATTTCCACCGCATGACTGACCAGATCTAGCTTACGGTGTCGTCTACCGGGCTCAAGACCGTCAGACTTCTCGAGTCGTCGCCCTGAAACAAGTACGAATATCAGCAGAAGAGCGGCAGAATGGCGTCCCAATCACTGCGTTACGCGAGATCTCGATTCTACGGTCTCTGAAGCACAATAATATCATTGATGTGATCGATGTGGCAGTCGGGGCGCATGCAATGGATGAGGTCTACATGGTTATGGAGTATGCTGAGCAGGTTGGTAATCCGATGCCGAGATGAAAACCCGAGGCATTCCAAGAGCATTGGCGCACCTAGCTGGCTTATTTTCCCTCGTCTGGAAAGGCGGAGGAATCGCCGGTTCCTAAGAGGCTAGGATCTTGCAAACATGCTTGATGAGCTAAACGTCAAGTTCACTATGAGTCAAGGTATGTTATATGGAGTAGACTATTGGTTGGTTTCTGCGCTGATGAGTCCCTGTAGTCAAATGCCTCTTCCGACAAGTTCTCGAAGGTATCGACTACCTGCATAGGAACGACATCATTCACCGGTATACTTTGAGAATGCGGATCTAGAGCTTTGTCTTCTAACTTTGTACAGGGATGTGAAAATGCAGAATATCCTGTTAACAGCGAAAGGTGTCCTCAAGCTTGGTACGTCAGGGAATCAAGTCAACGATCTGGAAACCTACTGACTGTCAACACGAAGCTGACTTCGGCATGGCTCGTGCATATTCCCCGCGACCTTTGACACCCGGAGTGAGTCATCCTTTCCGAGCCATGCCTTTGTGATTGCTACTGCATTGGGAGTTGCGAGACGTGTCGCAGGAGTTAAAGATTCCCGAGACCTGCTTTCTGACTCAAATCTGATTTCACAAGAGACAATCTGACTCGAAATCATATAGGTAGTCACTATTTGGTACCGGTCGCCGGAGCTCTTGCTTGGCACAAAATACTACAGTCCATCCATCGACCTATGGTCTGCTGGGCTTGTGCTTGCGGAATTGCTTCAAAGCGCTCCATGCCTTACTGGAGAGACGCCTATAGAGCAACTATCCTTGATCATCAAACTCCTTGGCTCACCCACCCAAGATGACCTAGCAGCACTGTCAGCTATGGGATGTCCTGAGCTCATCCGTTGGCGCAGAGAAGGACTGGCGTCTGGCCGAGCCGACAACATGGATCGGAGATTCCTGGCAAACACCTCGCCTGAGACTATTAACTTCTTGAGAGGTCTGCTCAAATGGGACCCCAATGCTCGATGGACAGCTGGGGAGGCCTTGGGAACAGGCAAAAGCCGACTCTCTGCAACGGCAGAGAAGTGGTGGAAAGAGAGCCCACGCGCTATCGACAAGGATTTACTCCCTACATTCCCCGAAGTACGCAACGTGGAGAAAATCCAGACTACGACGAACCGTGGTAGAGCGGAGGTGGAGATTGCTGGGCGGGTGGGGAATAATAATCCAGGGAGAGGGGATTATATTTTTGACTTTAGCGAAGACAGCGATTTGCGGAGGCCTGCAAAGAGGCCTCGGGCACGATGATGCCAGGTGACTTGAATCCTGCTCATCACCGCTCTGCATCTCGTGACAGAGCACCAATTGCTTTCGTAGATAAGCATATCCCTCTTTTCCATGAATTGGATACCTGACACGGAGTCTATCCAATCCTTATCACGCAGGAAATTCCCCCTGGTGGCAGCTCTGACGAAGCGAACCCAATCAGCCCCCTAGAGTACTAAGGCCGAGGCGGTGTCACCTGCAACTGGGGCGATCTTATGCATTAGTATGCACAATGGAAAGTGCATCAGCGCAATCCTCTTCCCGCCAATCACAATTCTGCATCAAGCCACAAATCAGATATTCTGACTGCCTGATAATGAATTTTCCGATGACCATTTGCGCATTGGCCGCCGGCGGTGACTGACTACTCGAATTTGGTCGATCATTGGTCTTGGCTGGCGGCACAAGCTCCGCGTATTATCACACCTGCCCCCCAACTGTCATCCTCCAACCTCTACATCCCACTCTGTGGGACTTTGCTGAGGGATACGAAGGGGGAGGATTTTTAGGCATCCAATTCTTACATTGCCATAAATCAATCTCACAAAACAATCACTCGAGGATATCTACTCGGCTCTGTAGTCTAGGGGCGGCGTTTGTGCTTTGGTGTAATAATCTCGATACCTCAAGCAACATGACGAGACGCCTGGTCTATGGTGGTGCCTTAATAGCTTTTTTAGCTGGTAAGTGTCTATCATGCCATCATGTAAGGCGAGACCCACTCACTGAACCCTTAACAGCCTTCGCCTTAACCTTGGCCAGCATAATAATACCAAGATGGATAAGCTGGGATAGCGAAACCGTACGCCTCCTCCACTTTCCCACCTCTCAAAGGCCTCCCACTGACATCTTTCATCTTAGCCCAGCGGCGCAAAGATTCACTACACCTACGGTCTCCACCGCCGCTGTTCCTCTCTCACCAACGCCTGCGAATACTTCCCTCACGAAGAAGACTGCCATGGCGACCGTTACTTCTGTTCCATGTGGCGCTCTGTCGGATTTCTCACATCGTTTACAGTCGTCCTAGAGGGTATGACGCTCATTACGTATATTGTCATTCTGGTCGGAGGCAAGCAAAAAAGGGAATCGGGGTGGAAGATATTGGCTGGACTGCATCTGCTCTGCGGGGCTGTGGAATGTGCTGGGATGGCGATCGTAGTGAGCTTCTCTGTCAAGACTTGAAGCTAGGGGATTTATAGCGATATGGAACGGATTCGCTAATACGGGGTGACAGGCATACCTCTACGAGAACGATGACCGCTTTTTCCCTGGGTGGAAACTCGACATATCATGGATCTTCTTAACCATCAGCTGGAGCATCATGATGCTCCTAGGAGCCGGAATAATTGGAAGTGCATTGTTGCTACCATCAGAAGAAGGCTACGAGCTGATACCTGGTGAGGATTGGCGCCGAGTTGGGGACCAGGATGACTGAAATAGCTTCACACAAGATGAGATTCATGGTAGGACGAGGAGAGGGTGGACACGCGTGCTTGATGACTGAGTGATAGAGGGATGAGAGGTGCGACATTTGTCACTTTCGTGATATTCTAGCTATTTAGCGGGTCAGCTTTCAGCATTTACAAGCTACGGCTTAATGAGTTTGGGTGGCATTTGGAGCTCAAAGCTTGGGGCTCACGTCTCCCACTGCTTACTTGCTACAGGCAAGCTGCCAGAAAGGGCGGTAATCTTAGGCGTTATCCTGTCTACCAGTGTACACAGTCATGGGTATAGAGCCGAAGAAATTGGGGAACCACTGGCTGTACCAGTTCCAGCAGAGCTTTTTGTCGACACAAATGTCTCTTATGCTTATGTTGTCAACCCTCAACAAACTTTGTACCACTACAATTACCACCCTTTCATGTCATAGACAAGCGCAATAGAGGCAACTGGTCCTCGGAGCAGGCTTGTAAACTTCCGAAGCAGAGAGCTGCCAAGTAGACAATGCAATCATGCTGTTCGACACGTCTGAGTAAAACATCTCTAAATTGAATTAGATAACGACATATAATTGCATAGGAGAGTTCATGTTCTGAGCTAGCGAGTTTGGCCGAGTGGTTTAAGGCGGTAGATTTAAGCTCTACTATCGAAAGATGCGTGAGTTCGAACGTCAGTAGAGAACAGTAGGGAGCGTGAAAAGTTCGTCGGCTTATTTTCAATAGCTCACAGCTCGCATACAAGATGATCCTTTTTTTGCATTTAGGATCCCTGAAGTAAGGGTTAGTAGTAATAGCAAGTGTTGACACTATGATTCTCGACTTGTGAGGCCATAGGGGTTTTTGATATAATATGTATGGGTATCTAATACTAGGGATATTATTGCATTCCTCTCAACATGACGATTCATATAACCTCGTAAACCCCTTCTCAGGAGGCTGCAACCAATTCCTACCATCATAATCGTTCTCGCCTTCAATGACATGAAATGTATAAATGAACCTACTCTTCCCACTCAAATTCCTTTCGCTCTTGTGCAGCAGGTTCCCATGTATAAGTACCAGTGTTCCTGCCTTAACCTCGCCCAGCCCATACTCTTCCTCCTCGTCCTTCTCCAGCTCTTGGGTTTCGAAATTCTCGGGGAACTTCGCCCCTGCCACATCATCAAACCCCGTCCCTCCCCCCTCTTTCCTCACAAATCTGCTTGTCACAGGCGCCCTTCTGTGCGAGCCTTTGGCAAAGCTTAGACACCCATTGTCTATCGTGGCATCCTCAAGTGCAATCCAGAATCCTACCGCACTCGGCGGATCTGTGTATAAAAATGTGCTATCCTGATGCGGTGGCACCCGTCCTCCAATCTCGGGCTGTTTGCATATGATCATGCTTTGAAGTACCCTTGGATCTTTGAACCCCATCGCTTTGGCTATCTCCCTGTGCAACGGTGTGAATGTGGCCTTGCGAAATAGCGGAGACAATTCGTGTAGGTAATGTCCTATCTTGTTTATGGCCCGGTGCTTTGGCTTCGTCAATTCCCCAGTGGTGGAGAATGCGTCTTCTTCAAAGAAAAAGCGTACTTTGTCGCCGCTAGTGAGGAAGTAGTCGTCGCCAACGTGTGAGTATTTTTCGCCGGTGGAAAACTTGGTCATGGGATGGTCGGTAAGGGAGAAAGAGGAGAGCATGTGGTTTGTTTCGGAAAGAAGAGCGGAGACAGTGGTGGGAGAAAGGGCGTTGGGGATGAGGAGATAACCATTAGTCTTGTAAGAAGCGAGCTGCTCGGCGGTGAGCTTTTTTGGTACAGTCGGGCTCTCAACTGGAGGAGACACGCGTGATGGTGCCATCTGGAATTACTGGTCTCTATTGTCGACGCAGTTGGAGGGTCGAAGCCTATGTTGCTTGCGAGCTTGCCCCTCTGCCCCTCTGCCAGCCAGCGGGAAGGCCCCGCTCCGCCTCAGCCTCGGCTCCGAAGCGAGCGTTTGCAGCGGTCACGAATCATGATGCACTGATTTTCAAAAGACTTGGGTTTCTTCCCGTCGGTCTCTACCCTCTCTCCGCCGTCATTCTCTGCGCTCTTTTCAGTATGGGAATTGGTCAGGAGGTCCACAACCTAAGTTAGGTGCCCCTTAATTACAAGATGTTCCGATAAAGGACTTTCGGAGCATGACCGAGGACCTTGAGAGCGGCGGTGACGCTGCTGTTAGCAGTCACCGGGCGGCCAGCCAAGATGTCGAAGAAACCATGAATGAGTTGTCATTCCGGGCTGTTGACCCTGTGAATGTACACGTCAAGGATCTCAATGTCGACGTTGATGTATCTTCGAGTGGGCTTTCTGCCTTCACTGCTTCACTCGGTCGAAAGAACAGCACCCGAGAACCAGAGGTCAAAGCGATCCTCAGAGGTGTCAATGCTTACATGCCAAGTGGTAGTCTGACAGCCATTATAGGCTCTTCTGGCAGCGGTAAGACTTCAGTGTTGAACACCTTGTCAAAACGAATCGCAATAGGAAGACTTAGGACTTCCGGAGATATCACTTACAATGGCAGCTCTCAGCTTTGGAGTGTTCGCAGCGCCTATGTCATGCAACAGGATGTGCTACTTGCAACCCTGACTGTGAGAGAGACGCTACGCTATGCTGCCGAGTTGCGGCTCCCGCCCCCTACGACCACAGAAGAACGAGAAAAAGTTGTGGAGAACGTGATTTTGGAGCTCGGTTTGAAGGATTGTGCGGATACAAGGATCGGAAACAACGTCCATAAAGGGTGCTCAGGAGGCGAAAAGAGGAGGACTTCACTTGCTGTACAAATGCTGTCGAATCCCTCCGTATTGTTCTGTGACGAAGTCACAACAGGTCTAGATGCTGCAACAGCATTCCAACTCGTGGCCACTCTAAAGGCCCTGGCGGTCAAAGGACGGACGATCATATGCTCGATTCACCAGGTACGTACATTTCCGAGCACGATCCTTCCCATTTGGTATTGAAATCGAGTCGCAAGACATGTTCCAAGAGCAAGCGGACCTTTTTGCTCCGAGACTTGTCTCGCAACTCCATTACCTACCTCGTACAAGCAATGCTGACTCCGAAATCTGCGCAGCCTAGATCCGAAATCTGGAAGCTCTTTGACCATGTTCTGTTGCTAGCGAAGGGTTCACCCCTTTACAGTGGACAATCATCAAGGTGCCTAGCCTATTTTGAAAGCCATGGTCATGTTCTGCCACCTTTTGTGAACCCTGCGGAATTTTTGATCGATTTGGCTGCAATTGACACACGTTCTCCCGAGGCCGAGGAGTCATCTGCCACACGTGTTCAGGGCCTAATACAGGCTTTTGAGACATCACCGGAAAATATCGGGCTTCAAATCGTGCAAAAGGAAACGTCGATTGGTCCAATTGGGTCGATCGAGGGAAGATCCAGGCAACACCATGCTACACTACGCCATCAGATCAGAGTTTTAACCGGACGCACATTGAAAACAACCTACCGCGACCCACTGGGTATCGCCGGAAGCATGCTAGAAGCTACTAGTATGGCTGTAATCACTGGCTGGATA